ATGTTCTCTAGGCCTTTTAGAAAACATGGAGTTGTTCCTTTGGCGACATATATGCGAATCTACAAGAAAGGTGATATTGTAGACATTAAGGGAATGGGTACTGTTCAAAAAGGAATGCCCCACAAATGTTACCATGGCAAAACTGGAAGAGTCTACAGTGTTACCCAGCATGCTGTTGGCATTGTTGTGAACAAACAAGTTAAGGGCAAGATTCTTGCCAAGAGAATCAATGTGCATATTGAGCATATTAAACATTCTAAGAGCAGAGATAGCTTCCTAAAACGTGCGAAGGAAAATGACCAGAAAAAGAAAGAAGCCAAAGAGAAAGGTATCTGGGTTCAACTAAAGCGCCAGCCTGCTCCACCCGGAGAAGCACACTCTGTGAGAACCAATGGAAAGGAGCCTGAGCTACTGGAACCTATTCCCTATGAATTCATGGCATGATGGGTGTTAAAAGTAAACTAATCTGTGGTCTATGAAAAAAAAAAAAAAGAGGTGTACATAAGAAACTGGAAGCAGATTAGGGCCCAGTTGAGCTGGGAATGTCAGGGTCCCTGGTGCCAGGAGTATGATCTAGAAGCTGGTATAAGACATAGTCCATGTGACTGGCCATATCCTTAGCTCCGCGACTGTTTGTAGCGGGAGCAAACTCCAAAGTACAGGGCCCAAAACTGGGGCCCCTTCTGCCTGTGTCTAAGGCTGGTACTGCTTTCTGAAGCTATGTTAAACTCATGTTGAGTTTTTAATTTCAGTTCTTATAATATTATTAATTTCTAGAAATTCTGGTTGGTTCTTTTTTAAATGTTTTACTCACATTTTTAGTACTTCCTTTTATGTTTAAATATGTTAGCCATATTTATTTTATATTCTGTGTCTAATAATTCCAAAACTTAAGTCTTTGTAAAACTTAATCTACTATATATTGCTTTGCTTGTTTTTTTTTTTTTTTTTTGGGGGGGGGGCTTCTTTTTCTGTTTATGTAAATGTTTTATTTATTTTTTCTTTTTTTGGATAGGTTTTTGCTGTAGGGCACGTGCACTCGCCAGAGAGATAGAAAGCGAGAAATCACCCCCCAGGGGCGATGGCCACGCCGCAATCCCTTCTCCTCCATTCTCCTCTTGGGATCTTGGGCATACATGTACACGTGCCCGGCGTGAGTTTAAGCCGGGTCCGGGACTTGAACAGCAGTCGACTACATGGGAGTCCAGCGACATAGTCATTACACTAACTGCTGGTCCCTGTAAATGTTTTATTTTTGAGCTCCTATTTCTTGAAATTTATCTATACAAAATTCTTCAAAGCCTGGAATAAGGACAATCTTCCAAAAAAGAAGCATGTTGGTTTCTACCATGTGAGTGCATGACAAGTCTGCAGCAACTTTAAACCAAATTTTCAATCAGTGTTTTTTTTTGGAGAGGTTTTTGCTATAGGGCGCGTGCACTCGCCAGACAGACAGAGACATAGAGACAGAAAGTGAGAAATCACCCCTCAGGGGGGATGGCCACGCCGCAATCCCTTCTCCTCCATTCTCCTCTTGGGATCTTGGGCACGCACGCACACGTGCCTGGCGTGAGTTTTAAGCCACCAGGTCCGGGACGTGAACCGTGGTCGACTACGTGGGAGTCCAGCGACATAGCCATTACGCTAACTGCTGGTTCCCAATCAGTGTTTTCATGAACCATACAGCTAATGACATTTCAGGCTGCAAATCTATGCGAGGGCCCACTTGTGACTGCAGATCCTCAGGGGGAAATTGGTTCATTCTCATCCCATTCAGTGCCAAGGGCCATTGGGCAGTTTTCCAGAGTGAGGGTGGTAGTGTTGGTGGTAGTGGTGGATTTTTTACATCAAAGATGCTTTGGGAGGTTTCCTTTTAAAAACCACTTTAGGGTAGGCCTTGGGCTTTGTCTCTTGTGCTTCTACTTTGCAAGGCTAAAAGAGTTCACACATCAGACAAACGCTTCTACATTTCCAACTTATTTTGTCCTAAGTATTCCTTTTTTTTTTTTTTTCCACCAGTTCATTGAAGAAAGAAGGAAAGTGTTTCATCCAGCATTTTTAGTGGTCTTCAGAGAGAAGTTTAGTAGGGGTACCTCATCTGCTTAATGGTATAAAAGTCTTATATAATCATAACATCTTTCCAATCTGTTTATTTTTCTTAATTCCCACTGTTAATGCATTATTTCATGTACTTATAATTTCTAGCTTCATCCAAAAGTCTTCCAAGTGCACTTCCTGGTTTCAATCTCTATGCTGCCCCTGTCTCTCATCGCTCTAAAAAGCTGTATCACTAGGAGGTCTCATCAAGAAACAGAATTCACCCAAAATACTTGCAGTGAAAATACCAGTTACAGAGATCCAAGCAATGGTGAGGGAACAAATAAGAGATAATGAAGCACTCAGAGACTAGCTACAGAAGAGGTGCCAAAAAGAGAAAGGAAGAAAATAAAGCTACCAGAGCCCAGTGAAAACTAGAGGTACAGAAGGGCCAACTGGCAGTAGCTTCATAGTGATGAAGAGATGACGCTCCTGCTGGAAATGTGGTATCAAATGGGGGAAGAAATGCCCAGCTTTGCTTTCTAATTATCTTCTGATATCAGCCTCTCTTGGGTCAAACCCAACCAACGACAGTCCTTAAAGAAGTCAAGGTCAACCCCCAGAGGCGTATGGCTTGGCAGAGAACTGTAAGAAATGACACCGAGAAACAAAGAGAAAATAACCAGTGCCATCGGTCTGTCTCAGAACCACTTAGAAAGATCAGCTTCTTGTACCATCGCCCTACTTAGACTCTGTCAGTGGATTCACGTCATCTGTAGGACTATACTGAAACTGGGATGTGTGCCTTTGCCTCTGCTTAGGGCTTCTCCCCCAGTTCTTGTCTTAGCCTATAGCCAATCCTAATTATTTCCAGATTCCCCGGTACTCCATGCGTTTACACCTTTGTGCTCAGGTCATAGTGTTTCCCCTTCCCAGGGCACTTTTCTGCACCTCCTTTGCTTGGTTAGTTTCCACTCAGTCTTCCAGAATTGAAGACCTACTCCTCACTCATCTCCACCTGAAAGTGTTCTTTAATCACTTCCTTACTTAATCTCATCATATTTAGTAGAACTGAGTGCCTGGGTTAATTCCCTTGAAAAGAGACATGTACATTTCACTCTTACTTGAGAGTACTTCAAAATGTTTGTGAGAAAATGGAATTAAAGGGGCAAAAACAGAAATGCATGCAGTTTTTCATAATACACATTTCCTCTCATGTACATTACTTAGCACCATTCTAACAATGTTCTCAAATGAATAAATGAAAACTATTAGGAAAAAGGCAAGCAAACATAAAATTAGTAAAGTTATAAAGTTCTTTGAAATTTTAAATAAAATTAAAATAATTCTTAAAAAATATAAAAGATATATAATGTAAAAATATAGAAATATATAACACACATGGAAAAGTCTTAGACTTGAAGTGTTTTCTTTCTCAATTAATTTCTTAGAATTTATTGTGTATTCAGGCAGAGAAAGATAAGAAAAAGACCACATGCCCAAAGACTTAGGATTTATTTTAAAATATTTATTTATTTTTATGTTATTATTATCATTATTTTTTAATTTGACCAGACAGAAAGAAAGGAAAAGTGGGAAAGCAAGCCACCAGGTCCAGGACTCAAACTGTGGGCAGCCATGTGGGAGTTCAGGCCTTAACCACCATGCCATGCCACCTGCCTGTCTCATGACTTAGGATTTGAATTCTAAGAGTTAATCCAAACTTGGGCAATGTGCTTGCTGTTTGTTTTCTAAAACATAGGACAGATACTATTTTGTATTAGCTTTAATTCTTAACAAATAATCCTTTAATTAAACTTTTAAAAATGTGCACCAACCCATAGATTTCTGGTAAATTTATCTTCTGATAACTTTTGCTTTCTTTGTAAATTAAAAAAACTAACAGTTGTGGAAATAGTTGCTTGGTTTAGTTTCCAATAGTAATAAAATACTTTCTTTCCAAAAACTTCTGGGAGAAAAAAATCAAAATGCAATCACATCCCAACAAAGTACTAGAGATGATTTACTGTGCTGATTGACATATTTTTATTTAGGTTCTGCCTGAAACCTCTGTAAGGCTTTTTTTCCTAAAACAAATATACCATATATATCCTAAAAAGCATTCTTCACCAAATATGCAGTGTAATTCACAGATTTACTACCGAAAAAAATAGTTCTTCTAAAAGTCCTGCCAATGTTAGGTCAAAGATCTTAAGATAGAACACACAGCATTGTGAGCACTGAGCAACGGACAAGAATATACTCAAGCTTTGCACTGGAATCGCGAAGGCCTTGAAGTGGAAAACCGAAAGACTAGGATACACTACATATCCCAGCATACCTTGCGACTACCCGCGACCACAACTCCCAGAATGCATTGCCTTCCGCCCGCAGGTTTCCCTTGTTGCTGGGGCTTGTAGTTCTGGTCTGTACGGCGAGAGCGGTAATTGCTTGCCCACCCCGAGGATGTTAGGCGTAGTCTCCTAGCTCCTGGGAGAGTGGAACTGCTTTGGGCTCCTGGGTAAGCTGGGCTCCTTGTCCCGTCTATCCGCCTTTGCTTCACCACCGGCAAGTCGAGGAGGCGCTACTCCGCGGCAGGGCCCCGCCCTTTATTTCCGAGTGCGACCTCGTTCTGGTGAACTTATTTGTCCCTAAGCTCCCGCCGTAGCAGCCGCCGCCCATCCCTCTTTGTGTGCATCGGGAAGCCGTGGAGCTAGTGCTGGCGACAATCGGCGTTGGGGACTTAAGCGAGGGACGTTACCGGGAAGTTGCAGGCTGGAGGATTCTTCCTCACCCGCCACCTGACAGGTGGGTTGACTGTTCTCTCAAGGCCCTCCTGCCTGCTGGGTCCCGTGTCGGGACCTCAAGGGCGTTTGGCAGTTCCTGCCCTGGCTGGGCTCGGGGAGGCCAGGCGGGAGGAGCCGGGTGCGGTGACTCAGGGCGGCCCGGGGAGAGGAGTTCACTCCCTTCCCTGCTGACCCTCCAGACGCGCCCCGGGGAGTCTCGACACTTGTCCGGCTCCCACTGGCCCCTTCCCCCTGACGCCGTCGCTTGGACCGCGCCCTCTTGGCGGGAACCCCAGAGGGAAAATTGATTCCTTTTCGTCTTGCTCCAGTTTGCAGATAAAATAAAGGTCACTACATTGATGCCGTTTTCCTTCACCTTGTGGGTGTTGGAAAGGCCTCGAACGCGGAGGTCGTGGCTCACAACTCGAGACTTTCTCTCCCCAGGAGTTTTGAGACGTGAACGTCAGTCCTAAGGGCTCTGGCCTGAGGATGAGAGGGCCGGTCAGCTGTAGTTCATTTGACCAGAAATGTACTCACTCTCCTATCTGAGTATAGATGTATTTGGTTTACAGGTGACGCCGGACGAAAAATAATATGCTGTGGCATACAGAGATATGTATGGAAGTGCTGCTTTTCAGCAGCAGTTAGTGTGAAACTGTTAGAGGAGTAGAAAGGGTGGAGTAAGCAACACGATCTTTTGGTATTTTTTACTTTGTTCAGTTGAATTTTGATAGATATTGTATGTGTATTCAAAGGTCTGCAGTATTCACTTTTCTCCATTTTTGTATTCTTTTCTATTTTTTTGGAGAGGTTTTTCCTATAGGGCGCGTGCGCTCCTCAGAAAGACAGAAAGACATAGAGACAGAAAGCGAGAAATCACCCCCCAGGGAGAATGGCCACGCTGCAATCCCTTCTCCTCCATTCTCCTCTCGGGATCTTGGGCACGCACGCACAGGCGCCCTGCTTGAATTTAAGCTGCCAGTCCGGGACTCCAACCGCTGTTGACTACGTGGGAGTCCAGCGACATAGCCATTACGCTAACTGCTGGTCTTTATTTTTGTATTCTTGAAAATTATTAACTTGCATGTCCATCTTTGTCCAGTGTTGCAACTGAAATTTTCTTAATGCGTGTAGATGGATGTTTCCTCGACTAAAACTTAACCATCATTTAGATTTAATAATTGTACTTTTAAAGAGATTGCTCTTAAATACAAATTTCCAGAGCCTTTTCTCCCTGTTTCTTTGTTTTTTGAGAAATTTTTGCTATTGAGCGCATGCGCTCGCTGGAGAGACCTGAGAAAGCAAGACCTCACCCCAGAGAGCATGCCCATGCTGTAATCCCTTCTCTTCCATTCTCCTCAGGATTTGGGACACCACTGGTGCCCTACTTGGAATTCAGGCCACCAGTCCAGGACTCAAACCATGGTCAGTCATATGAGAGAGAGTCCAGCACTTTAACCACTATGCTGCCTACTGGCCCTCTCCCAATGTTCTTGATCTAAAGCATTTAGTATTTCAGTTGTATAGAGACATTGAGAGAGATTGGTGATTACACAATAAATCAATAATATAGGGAAGGTGACAGTTCCTTGCTCCCACCTTATGCTCAACCCCAGCCTACTTTTTCAATTAAGAAAAAATTCCTAATTCATTACTGTTTTCTAAAACTGAAAATGAAGTAGTGTTTACATAATTGTTTTATCGAAACTCAGTTTATAATTCTGCCTTAGCCATTATTCATTTAGCCAATATCAATTTAACATTAAGATCATTCAGCTAGATGCTGTGAAGGCAACAAAATGACAAGACACAGTTCCTTATTTCAGGTAATTAACTGTCTAATAGGGAACATTTCAGATGTATTCACAAATAATTGAACTAAAAGTACCATAAGAGGTGAAAGTAAGGTGTTACTGCAGAGAAGTAAGTCATTTGATTTGATAATGATTATACTTTTGTGTTTTGCTCATCTTTAGTATTATTTTTATTACATTTTTGTAATTTATAGGAATTTTCTGTTTTCATATATAATCAAGCTTAATTAATCTTTTTAAAATCAAACTTCCAGAAATTAATGTAAAACTTCTCTCTATGTCTCATTGCTTAAGAGGTTTTGTAAGTTTCTTTCTTTCATTAGAGTGAGAAACAGAGAAGAGAGACAAGCAACCCTAACAGGGTCTTACACATGATTCCCCTCTCCCCCTAAACTATCCAGGATCATGGGATTACACATTTGGCATGTACAGGTGAGCCAGAGAACCGCTACAGCGCGTTTGGCAGTCCCTGCTGACAGCGCCGCCTGGCTGGGCTCGGGGAGGCTAGGCGGGAGGAGCCGGGTGCGGTGACTCAGGGCGGCCCGGGGAGAGGAGTTCACTCCCTTCCCTGCTGACCCTCCAGACGCGCCCCGGGGAGTCTCGACACTTGTCCGGCTCCCACTGGCCCCTTCCCCCTGACGCCGTCGCTTGGACCGCGCCCTCTTGGCGGGAACCCCAGAGGGAAAATTGATTCCTTTTCGTCTTGCTCCAGTTTGCAGATAAAATAAAGGTCACTACATTGATGCCGTTTTCCTTCACCTTGTGGGTGTTGGAAAGGCCTCGAACGCGGAGGTCGTGGCTCACAACTCGAGACTTTCTCTCCCCAGGAGTTTTGAGACGTGAACGTCAGTCCTAAGGGCTCTGGCCTGAGGATGAGAGGGCCGGTCAGCTGTAGTTCATTTGACCAGAAATGTACTCACTCTCCTATCTGAGTATAGATGTATTTGGTTTACAGGTGACGCCGGACGAAAAATAATATGCTGTGGCATACAGAGATATGTATGGAAGTGCTGCTTTTCAGCAGCAGTTAGTGTGAAACTGTTAGAGGAGTAGAAAGGGTGGAGTAAGCAACACGATCTTTTGGTATTTTTTACTTTGTTCAGTTGAATTTTGATAGATATTGTATGTGTATTCAAAGGTCTGCAGTATTCACTTTTCTCCATTTTTGTATTCTTTTCTATTTTTTTGGAGAGGTTTTTCCTATAGGGCGCGTGCGCTCCTCAGAAAGACAGAAAGACATAGAGACAGAAAGCGAGAAATCACCCCCCAGGGAGAATGGCCACGCTGCAATCCCTTCTCCTCCATTCTCCTCTCGGGATCTTGGGCACGCACGCACAGGCGCCCTGCTTGAATTTAAGCTGCCAGTCCGGGACTCCAACCGCTGTTGACTACGTGGGAGTCCAGCGACATAGCCATTACGCTAACTGCTGGTCTTTATTTTTGTATTCTTGAAAATTATTAACTTGCATGTCCATCTTTGTCCAGTGTTGCAACTGAAATTTTCTTAATACGTGTAGATGGATGTTTCCTCGACTAAAACTTAACCATCATTTAGATTTAATAATTGTACTTTTAAAGAGATTGCTCTTAAATACAAATTTCCAGAGCCTTTTCTCCCTGTTTCTTTGTTTTTTGAGAAATTTTTGCTATTGAGCGCATGCGCTCGCTGGAGAGACCTGAGAAAGCAAGACCTCACCCCAGAGAGCATGCCCATGCTGTAATCCCTTCTCTTCCATTCTCCTCAGGATTTGGGACACCACTGGTGCCCTACTTGGAATTCAGGCCACCAGTCCAGGACTCAAACCATGGTCAGTCATATGAGAGAGAGTCCAGCACTTTAACCACTATGCTGCCTACTGGCCCTCTCCCAATGTTCTTGATCTAAAGCATTTAGTATTTCAGTTGTATAGAGACATTGAGAGAGATTGGTGATTACACAATAAATCAATAATATAGGGAAGGTGACAGTTCCTTGCTCCCACCTTATGCTCAACCCCAGCCTACTTTTTCAATTAAGAAAAAATTCCTAATTCATTACTGTTTTCTAAAACTGAAAATGAAGTAGTGTTTACATAATTGTTTTATCGAAACTCAGTTTATAATTCTGCCTTAGCCATTATTCATTTAGCCAATATCAATTTAACATTAAGATCATTCAGCTAGATGCTGTGAAGGCAACAAAATGACAAGACACAGTTCCTTATTTCAGGTAATTAACTGTCTAATAGGGAACATTTCAGATGTATTCACAAATAATTGAACTAAAAGTACCATAAGAGGTGAAAGTAAGGTGTTACTGCAGAGAAGTAAGTCATTTGATTTGATAATGATTATACTTTTGTGTTTTGCTCATCTTTAGTATTATTTTTATTACATTTTTGTAATTTATAGGAATTTTCTGTTTTCATATATAATCAAGCTTAATTAATCTTTTTAAAATCAAACTTCCAGAAATTAATGTAAAACTTCTCTCTATGTCTCATTGCTTAAGAGGTTTTGTAAGTTTCTTTCTTTCATTAGAGTGAGAAACAGAGAAGAGAGACAAGCAACCCTAACAGGGTCTTACACATGATTCCCCTCTCCCCCTAAACTATCCAGGATCATGGGATTACACATTTGGCATGTACAGGTGAGCCAGAGAACCGAACCTGTGGCCTCCATATGGATCCAGCCTCCCTTGAGCAGTGATTTACCTCTGTGTCACCCAGCCTGCCTCTTAGATTTCACTGCCAACTCATGCCCTTTCTGTTATGACCCAGTGTTGACCTTTATCTCCAGTACCCTAATATATTCTCAGTGTCTTAGAAAATATTGAGACATTGTGTTAAATTTGGGCAAGTGAACACTTAAGGGTTTCCTTTGTGCTAGCTACTATGCTCATATTTCTATATGCATTTGTTTCTTATTTTCAAGTCTTAGTAAAATAAATAAGTATGCTTCCATTATTTTAGAAGTAGAGCTTAGATAGCATTAAACCATTGTACATGGCCTCTTGGGACAGTTCTTTTCTTGAAGCACTAATTTCTTCAAGTATGCTGCTTTTTAAAATTTTTAAATTTTTATTATCATTATTATTTATACATTTACTCAGTATACATCATTTAGATTGTAAAGAGACTTTACCCAGCATGATACACGGCTCAGTCAGGTTGAGAATACTATACACAAGTATACTGCTGTTACCAACATAATGCATTATTATAAATGATTGTATGCTTCTTAAGGTCACAAACATGTCGGACAAAAGTGAACTAAAGGCTGAGTTGGAACGGAAGAAGCAGCGGTTGGCCCAAATCAGAGAAGAAAAGAAGAGAAAAGAAGAAGAAAGGAAAAAAAAAGAAGTATGATTGATTTTTTTTAATAAAATAAATGTAATATAAAATAACTGGATTTTGTTTCAAGTACTAATGCTTTATATAATAAATGCAGAATAGGTAAAAATCTAGCAGTTGTGACTGCAAATACAGCACTGTAAGTGGTTCTTACTTTTAAAAGGCCAGATATATGAAAATGACAAAACTGGTGAATTCACTATGCTTTTTTTTCCATGGAATAAAAATACTTATATAGATTGATGCATATCTAAAATTTAATTTATAAAAGTTCATTTTATATATTTAGTCTTCCAGGACTTTTTTTTAATTTTTTTTAATTTGCCAGAAGGCACATGCACTCACTAGATTGGGGAGTGGTATGCTACAATTCCTTTTCCATTTCTCCCTCCTTTGGGACTTTGGGCATACATGTACACATGCCCAGCATCTTTTTCAAGCCCCCATGTCTAGGACTTTAACTGTGAGGTTGATTATGTGGGATCCAGTGTGTTAACTGCCAGGCCACAAGCTGGCCCAGAATATATTTGTTATATAAAGTATGGGGCATTTACATTGTAATATCTCTTGAGATATGTCATATATATTATAATTTAGTTTGGACTTCAAACTTATCTATTTGAATATTTTGCTAGTTTGAACTTAAAATAATTTTCAGACTGGAGAATAACCATGAAGGTGGACCAGGGACTTCTGTCTTCTGACTTTAGCATCATATGTTTTTATAATATATAGTGCATATACATTGATCCTGAGCTTGTTTCCACAGATAAGTTTTAAATGGCCCGCATAAGATAGTTTGTGCTGAACTTAGTTTTATACCAAATTTTTATATGTGCTACCTAAATAATAGATGATACATCTAAAAATCTATTAAGGGAGAAAGAAAAATCAGCAGAAAAACTGCAGGTGTGAACATAGCAGCATTGCTGTGATACTGTAACAGCTTATACCTGAAGAATTTGCTAGCTTATTCTGAACGTTTCTGTGAGACACTGTTGTAAGAGGGTTGGAGATTCATTATTAGCTATTTGGCTAAAAGCTAACTGGCAGTAGAAGCATGATTCAGATTGGCAGAGCCATTCCAAAATAGTACTCATATTCTTATGTCCTTAAATTCTGAGATGTTAATTTTTGTTATCTAAGGATGGCTACAAGTAGCCTCCAAGGAAGATCTATCACATGATTAATATCTAATTTAAAGGTTATAAAACATTACAAGAGATAATTCCATAGTATTAAACAGCAAGTCTGTTTATATACTTTTTAAAATTATTTAACTTTTATTTATTTATTGTTGTTGTTGTTATTTTCCAGTTTGATCAGACAGAGAGAGGGGGAAAGCGAGGAAGCTAACCACCAGATATAGGACTTGAACTGTGGTCAGCCATGTCCAGTGACTTTAACCACTGCACCACCTGCTGGTCCCAATATATTCTTATATATAGTAAAGTGTTAGCTTGGCAGTACAACCTGTTTTGTATTTTCATGGATTTTTCTGATGTCTTTTAGTTAAAGTAGTATTATAGAATAGCATCACTGACTGAATTCACTCCAGACAACGCTTGAGTAATAGTTTTCTAGTTGACGTAGGCACTTGAAGTGTGTGAGGTGGGACCAGCAGCTGGTGTGGTGGTTAAGGTGCTGAACTTCCACATGGTCATCTGTGGTTTGAGTCCTGGACATATTGGCTTGATAAATCATGCCTGACATATGTGTGTGTGTGTGTGTGTGTGTGTGTGTGTGTGTGTTTTTTTTTGTGGTGGTGTGGGTGTGTGTGTGTGTATGCCCAAAATCTCCAAGGGAGAATGGAGGAGAAGGGATTATGGCATAGCCATCCCTTCTCCTTCATTCTCCCTGTGAGATTTTTCACTTTCCCTCTCTCTGGTGAGTGCATGCGCCCTGTAGCAAATACCTCAAAAAAAAATAAAAAAATAAAAAAAGTTTTTTCTTGAAAGTTTAAATTTCACCTGAGCTGTTTTGGATGATCTACAAGTACTGAGATGTACCTAGTTTAACTAGAAGATTTTGCAAAACCTATGAATGGCTATAAGAGGTGAGAAATTTTTCCTGGCAAAAAATGTGTACTATGCAAAAGCAAGTTTTAATTTTTCCAGACTCAGTTATATGTTTTTATTATCATAAAAATAAGACCTATAGTTTGAAAACAAAATCTTTTATTTTGAATCTTTTGAATTTTTGACATTCTCTACAAAATGATGAATAAATAAAATGAACTTTATACAAAGTTTGAAGTACTCATACTTTTTCAACAAATTAAATTGCCCATTCACTTAAACTTTATTACATCTTAAATAACTTTACCTTATTTATTTTTTTCATAGTGTCCTAATATTTACATCTAAGCTTTTTGCCACTTGGAAGTGGTTTCCACAATTTCTGACCATGGACAGCAATTTCACACTAGAGATAACTTGCCAAGTTGACTATGCTTTTTGTTTTGTTTTGTTTTTTTGAGAGGTTTTTGTTACAGGGCATGTGCACTTGCCAGAAAGACAGAAAGAGCCGGACAGAAAGCGAGAAATCACCCCCTGGGGGGGATGACCACACCACAATCCCTTCTCCTCCATTCTCCTCTCAGGATCTTGGGCACACATGCACACATGCCCAGCGTGAGTTTAAGCCACTGGGTCCGGAACTCAAACCATGGTTGATTACATGGGAGTACAGTGACATAGCCATTATGCCAACTGCTGGTCCCGACTATGCTTTTCGAATATATCTCATAGGGAAATTTGTGTGGACTCCTTGATTACATGTAAAAATGGATCAATGTCATATATTTCATTTGGAGTTTACTTACTAGAATTCTATTGAGAGTGATTTTCATTTAATGACTATGAAAAGGGAACTTAATCTGTATCTAAGTCCACCCCCTATGAGTATATAGTGTTAGTGCATTATTTAAAATACTTTTTTTTGCAAACAGAAGTGTTTCATACTTTGTATAAACTTAAGTGTTTACTTAAAAATTTTAGACAGATCAGAAGAAGGAAGCTATTGTTCCTGTGCAAGAGGAATCAGATCTTGAAAAGAAAAGAAGAGAAGCTGAAGCATTGCTCCAAAGCATGGGACTGACTCCAGAATCCCCCATTGGTAAGGATAAGAATATATCCATTTATAAAAAATAGACTATCCTGTTCAGCCTAGACATATCTGAGATGAGTGATGTAGTTTGCACATTTTTACATATTTGTGTCTTTTAAAGTCATTAATCTTATACTTGGAAATTGTCTTTTTTCAGATGCACCAGTAGATGGTAATTTAAATTGTCCAAAAGTGCTGTTGAGCTAATTGTATTTAACAGAACCACCAACTGACTTCTTTTGTTAAATCAATACCTTACTTCACCCAACATTTATTGAGCTAGTTTTGTGTGCCATGCTGTATTAAGCTTTAAGATGACTATGATTCCTGATGCTAATTTTATATTCCTATCTGTGAGATAGAGAGAAATATAATTAATCCAAGCTATAGTATTCAAAAGTAATAGGAAGGGGCCGGCAGCTGACATGGTTAAGGGTGCTGGACTCCCACATGGCCAAACACGGTTCTAGTCCTGGACCTGTTGTCTTGATTTCTCACTTTCTCTCTCTCACTCTATCCCTCTCTGGTCAAAGTAAAATAAATAAATAAATAAAGTTAAATAAAATAATTCTTAGAAAAAAGGTAATAGGAATGGAAGGGAATCTTACAGACTTCTCTCAACACCAATAAGGTAGATAATATTGTTCTTTTGGAGAGGTTATTCTTTTTTTCTTCCCAGAGGGCACATGTGCTCCCTGGAGAAAGAGAAAAAACACCTCCCCATAGGGAATGGCCAGGCCTCCAATCTCCTCGCCTCCATCTCTCCCTCCCTTTGGGATTTTGGGCATATGCACATGCACCTGGAGTGTTTTTCAGGCTGCCAGGTTTGGGACTGAAACCACGGTTGGCCGTGTGGACTCCTTAACCACCTTAACCACCAGCCACCTTAACCCCACGTCATGGACTGGCCCAGGTTATTCATTTTGGTAACTATATTAAACCAAAAAGGAGACATAATAAAGGGTACTGAGAACAGTCTATTGGTAGGTATTAGGAAGTTACCTATCAGGAAGCATTAAATGCTTAAAGTCATTGTGTGCTATGACATAGTATTTTAGTTTGACATAGCTTTTGTTCTTTAAGGAACTAAAATTTCAGGGTTATTTTATAGACTGATTTCATTCAGTCCAGGGGACAACTACCAAAGGTAGTAACTGTTCAATGCCTTTTGTGAAACTGCAGTAAAACTATCTTAGAGCTGTTATTTACAAAAGGTTTCAGGATGAAAAAGCTAGTTGTTCTGGTGGTCTGCTTTATTGTTATTGGGTTGTCGGACCAGTCAAGGCATATTTATCCTATGTTTTTCTACGCAAAAGTGCATCATGACTTTTCTAACAGCCCGATACTTTCATTTTCCTATTCCTTATTGGTAGAATTGGAGGACTGAAGTACATTAATTTTTATGTATTAACTTAAGGTATGTTGCATATTGTAACTTTTAAAGGTAAAAATCAGAATACTTTTTTCTTGTTTCCCATGTAACTTTACCAAGTTGTTTAATAGTTGTAGTCTTTCGGTGATTTTTTTTTTTTTCTGTGCCATTGGCTTTTGTTTTTTCTCTTATAGGATTCTTTTCTTCTTTTTTGTCTTTCTAGGGCTTCAGTTTCACTGAGTCCACTTGCTCATATTTCTTAATTCAAGGCCCACCCCTGTATCACTGATTCTTGTAGACTGTTTTCAGTTGTGTGTCTCTGTGTTTCTCCCTCATTCTCCATCTCCAATTCCATTTTCTTTCTCACGTATGCAAATTTACTCTCCTAATTCCAGTGTATGCAAAAAGTACTGTTTCACTATGTCCATATCATCACTGGGTATTATCCAACTTTCTGGTTTTTGCCAACTTGATGGATATAAAGTACTAGGCCAAGATGTTTTAATATACATTTATCTGATTACAGTGAGGTTGACCATCTACTTATATATCTGTAAATTGCATATTCATACCGTTTTGCCCTTTCGATATTGGCTTTCTCATACATTTTACATATTGTAGAGGAAGGTTTTATCTGTTATGGTCTTCTAGTCTGTTACCTCTTAACTCTGTTTACAGTATCCTTCATTGATATGGTTAAATTCTTTATTTTTGATATGGCCAAATCTAATTATTACCTTTTTGTATGTGCTTTTCTTTTTCTCCAAGAAATCTCCTAAATTGAGGATGCAAATGTAGTCTCTTATATTTTTTCTATTAGTTTTATAGTTTTATCCATCACATTTAGATATTTACTTTTTTTGTAGAGAAAGATTTTTTGCCACAGGGCACATACAGTTGCTGGAAGGACAGAAAGTGAGAAATTGCCCCCCAGGGGAGATGGCTATGCTGCAATCCCTTCTTCTCTATTCTCCTCTCAGGATTTGGGGCATGCACACATAAGCACCCGATGTGAGTTTTAAGCCTCCGAGTCCAGGATGCAGCCCGCTGTCCACTGTGTGGGAGTCCAGAAACATAACTATTATTACACCATTTGCTGGTCTTGATATTTGCATTTTATTTTAAAAAATAGTGTAAGGTAGGGATCTAATGTAATTTTTCTCCATGTTTGCTAATTTTTTTAAATTGCTAGTGGGTGCATGCACACACCAGAAAGAGAGAGAAGAGAGAAAGAAAAAAAAGCATCCCCTAGTGGGGTATGTATGGTCATGCCACAATCCTTTTTCTTCCCTTTCACCACCCTATCAGGATTTGAGGCACATAGGCATACATATTTGGTGTGTTTTTCAAGCTGCCGGGGCTAGGATTTGAACTGTGGTTGAGTATGTGTGATCTGGTTTCCTATGCACAGCACTTAATTCCTGCGCTCTGAGGCCAGTCCATTTATTATTTCAATAGCACTTACTAAACAGTCTATCTTTCCATTGATATCTGATGGCAACTTTGTCATATTGTAAGTTCCCGTATTGTCATGAGCATTTGTGAGCTCAGTATTTTCACTATGGGATCTGTTTGTCTAAGTCTACAAAATTAACCCAGGGTTTTTCTTTTGTTTTTGTTTCCTAAGAATTATTTATTTGGGGGACCAGCAGATGGCATAATGATTACGTTACTGGACTCCCATGTAATTAACTTTGGATTGAGTCCCAGACCCAGCCTCTTAAAACTCACACTGGGCACGTGTACTTGCACACCCAAAATCCTAAGAGGAGAATAAAGGAGAAGGGGTTGTGGTGTGGACATCCCCTTGGGGGTGATTTCTCACTCTTTCTTTCTGTCTCTCTGGTGAGTGCATATGCCCCGGAAGAAAAATCTCAACTGAAAAAAAAAAAAGATTTATTTATCGGTACCAGCAGATGGCATAATGGTTATGTTGCTGGACTCCCACATAGTTGACCATGGTTAGAGCTCCAGTCCCAGTGGCTTAAAACTCATGCCAGGTGGGTCTGCTGTGCACTCAAGATCCCAAGAGGAGAATGGAGGAAAAAGGGATTTGAGCATGGCCTTACCCCCCCCCGGGGGGAGGGGTGATTTCCTGCTTTCTGTCTCTGGCAGACTCACATGCTCTATAGCAAAAATCTCTCAAAAAAAAAAGAAAGAAAGAAGAATTATTCATTTGTTTATTTATTTTCAGTTTTAATTTGACCAGAGAGAAGAGAGAGAGAAAAAAAGAGAAAAAGTGAGAAAGCAAGCTATCAGATCCAGGAGTTGAACTGTAGTCAACCATGTGGGAGTCCAGCACCTTAACACTGCACCACCTATCAGCCCCATTAACTCAGTTTTAATTACTATGACTTTCTATTATCTCCTAATTTCTTTCTTTCTTTTTTTAACAAATATTTCTTCTACCAGCAAGAGAGAAAAAAATAGCATCCCCCAATAGCCCCTTGACCACTATCTACTCCTTGCCTCTGATCATGGGTGCAGATGTGTTCGAGGTACTTAGGAACATTTCCAGATGTGAACCAGGACATCTTCCTCATGGGAAGAAGGTCACACAGAGCATCATGCTCTACCACTATGGCACTGTCCCGACCCTCTGTCCTAATTTCTGATATAGAAAACCACCCCACCTGCTTTGTTCCTCTTTTTCAAAATAGCCCACAAACATTTTGAAAAAGTTTCACAAATATTTTTCTTCCCCACATAAAAATTTGTTTGTTTTCCCCCAAAACCTTGCTGTACTGTACATTGTGTTTAATTGTATAGTTATAATTTTTCTAATATAGAACATCCTGCACACACATAGTATCTACTAATGGAAGAGAGGAAACCAGTTGATCTGTACAATGTCCACCTTCAGGATTTGTCTGATGGCTTCCTCACATTTAGCTTTTGTTCCTCTATCCCTTGTAGTTCCTCTAAACTGGAAGTTAGAATAGAGTAATAAAAAGCTTGGTTCTCTTCAGGGCAAAAATATCTCGTAGGTGATGCCATGTACTTCATATTGCATCAGGCACATCAGTAGTACTTAGGTCTGGTTGTGAGCTATCAATACTAAGGTTGATTACTGGGTTACAGTTGTGGTAGACAGGTGTCTTCATCATAGTTATCACCCCGTGAGTATTAAGTCATATCTGGGGATGATACTTTGGCCTGATATGAATATTCATTTTCCTTCATCAAGTTTTTACCTAATGGTATTAATACTCACTAATGATCCTTATCTAAGTCCGATTTTTAATTAGGAGTTGTAAAACTGTTCTTATAATTCCTCTATTCCTTCTGCATTTATTAGCTGAAGTTCCTAAAGGGAAAGTTTCCCTTAATAATATGAAGTGCTTGGTTACCCTAAGGTATTTCCTGTTAGAAAAACAGGACACATTTTGCTTTTTTCACTTTAATTGCTAATAGCTACTCCAGGGGCAGTGGATGAGTTTTTTCATGTATTTTAAAAATAGGTTAGCAGGGACTATAGATGGTGTGATAGTTAAGGCATCCGGATTTCACATGACTGGTTTGAGTCCTAGACCCAGCAGCTTGAAAATCACACTGGGCTTGTGTGCATGCATGCCACCAAATCCTAAGAATAGAATGGAGACGGGATTGTGGCCATTGCCCTTGGGGACTGATCTCT